CACTCTTCCTTCATTCCTACATTTGCCTCTGAACAAAACATCTCTTCCTCTTCCCTTTTCACAAACTTATCCTTGTCTTTCAAGGTCTTGGCCAAATATCACCTCCTGACAGTCCACCTTCCCAACTACACACACACACACACACACACACACACGCATACACACAAGCTTACGCTGTGATTGTGGCTTCATCTCCACCAACCACCGTGACTGGCGGAGATGATGCCACAGTGTAATTCTGTGAGCAAATGTTTCGTGAGCATCTACTATGTACCAGGCATCAGTCAAATCCCTGGGTACCAAATGGCTAAGATTGCTCTTTTTAATAGAGTATTCAGCCTCTGGTAGAGTTAAAAAGTAAACAGAAAAATGAGCAGCAAAGAATTAGATACACAAAGCAAATTTTAAAAGTTAATAAAACAGAGAGGAGATCATGTGTTCTTAGGACCCCTTTAAACTAACACAATGCCCGGCAGGCAGCTGATGCTCAGTAACTATTTGATGAAATGAGAGGCAACACCTATGACTTGCAACAATCTTTATCAGTCATTTTGTTCGTATGTCTTGGAACATTTTGTTGTTTTTAAGAAACCATTTTCCCGACTACTTTTTGCCTGCTCCTCCAATCCCTGTGAGGTTATGAAAAGCAGAAAACCTGTCTTCCGCATGGTGTTTATAGCTCCTGTGATACCTACTTTAGAATCGCCTGCATTTGCTGCAAACTATAAACACAGAGACCTGGACTTAAAGTTTGAGAGACATCACAAATCACAGGATGTAAGAGCCAAATGAAAACTCGACAGTGATCTAATGTAATGATTTTACTAACCGTTCTTGGCCAAGACTTGTATTCCTGGGGTATCCCAAAGGTTGTTGCAGGGGCTGAGTTGGGATGGGGAGAGTTGGAGAGAGGATTTTAGAGATTCCTACAATTTTCTCCTTTCTTCTGTTTAATCCACAGAAGCTCTACTTTAACCATGTTATATGTTTTAGAGGTTAGGGTAAGATTTTTTTTACCAAAATCTACATGACATTAGAGAAATCAACAGGAGAAGAAAACAAAAACAATGAATCAAGGCGTTAAATGAGTCCTCTGAATTTTTACAGAACCTCGCTCTGAACAGATGTATATGTTTAGATACGGGCAGATGCATACAACCACAGACAGAGATAAAGCATAGATAGAACACATACACAACGTAAGTAGAGCACATATTTGGCAGTGGGGGTGGGTACAAGAGTGTGAAAGAAGGAGGTATTAAAATAGTAGTGAAGTATGCTTTCAAGGGAAGCAGAAGTCTTTCTAGCCCCACCATTCTCTCAAGAATTTTGTCTTTTTTGTAGCTCTGACCATTCATTCATTCATTCATTATTACTTTTTAAACAATTGTATATCAAGTATTTGTATGCACACTGACACAAAGAATTGGGACTTATGTAAAGGTGAGACAGAGAAAGAGAAGGAGGGAGGAAAGAAGAAAAAGAAGGAGGGAGGGAAGAAGAAAGGAGAAGAGAAGAAGGAGGGAAGAAAGGGAGTAAGGGAGAGAGGAGAAAAGGAAGGGAGGGAAGGGGGAGGAAGGAAGGAAGGAGGGAGAGAGGGAGAAAAGGAGGAAGGGTGAAAGGGAGAGAGGGAAGGAGGAAGGAAGGGGGAAGAGAGAGGGAGGGAGGGAGGGGGCATAAAGACATAAAGACAGGGAGAAAGGGAAAAAGAAGGAAAAGGAGGAAAGGAAGGAAATGAGAGAAGAAGGAAAGGAGGAAGGGAAAGAGGGAAAGAGGGAAAGAGGGAGGAAGCGAAATTGGGAGATTAAGCAATCAGGTGAGTGAGGGGCTTTAAATGTCGGGCTTTTCCTCTCTTCCTCAGCACACAAGGATGCAATGTCTTATGCAAAGTAATTGCAGGGTTCCAAAGGAGGCAAGTGGGTGAGAAGAATGAAGAGAGCTACCAAAATAAGACATGACTACAGAGAAAAAAAAAAAAACAAGGAGAGATGACGGCATGATTGGATCTATGAGACTGTCTATTTTTAGTGGCATAAAGAAGACTCTCTCCAGTGACCTTGCCAAATTATGATGCAAACCGAGTTAATGAAAGCTCTCTCAACCTTCTCTTCGAAGTCAGCTCATTACCAGATCATTTCTGCAGACACATCGCCCAAAACCCTGTAACCTCATTAAAGAACTAATCCTAACAGGTTTGACCTGAAAGTGAGCAGATGGATTTACTTGAACAGTTTACTGCTTTACTAGTGTTTTTTTTTTTTTTTCTGAAAAAACATTAAAGACCAGGTTAGCATTTGTAAGCCATTCATTTTAATTTTTTTAACATTTTTTATTGATGTTGTTTTGTCTTTCAGATAAATGCCACCCATTTTCAGAAATAAGAAAAACGCTCTGAGCAATTAAGAAAAATCCTTGCTTTCGATGTCATCTTATTTAAATTATGAAAAAGTAGAATGAGAACCAAAAGAATTCCGGTACCAATTCTATGTTTCCGTATGCATGTTTTAAGTATTCTTATATGATTAGGAAAGCAGGGCATTAGGCTGACTCCAAAGGGAGTAACTCACTTGAAGTAAAGGACCTTGTAGGTATTGGAATTCTTTGAACAGTCTCATTAAATTTCACCCAGATTGCCAAAGAAACGCTTTTTTATGTTCCCATAAAGTTACAATCGCCTTGTTGTAATAGGAGAATGTTTAAGTAAAATACGATACACACTGTACATGGAATTGCAGGGTTTCCCCAAAGTCATAATGCTGTGACTTACAAAGAAACATGGGAAAATACTTTGGGACTATTTCAACATGGTTCATTATGACGTCAAATCTTGACTCCAATTACAATAATGTAAAAATATTTCTGACTAATTTGAATAGTAGGAGGAAGAAGAAAATAAGGACAATTTATGAGTCAGAGTGAATGAATTATGGGTGACTTATTTCCTCTCTTCTTCTTCATTTCTAATAGAATGGTTAATGTATTGTCTGTTCTGGAAACACCTTTTAATCTTGTCATCACTTCATGCCACATGAAGTACCTCTTTAGCAGCATGGATACCTGAGCCTGCCACATCCAAAGTGAGCTGGGGTACTGATGGCAATACCTGAGCATCCTCTTTCTTATACAGCCAGGAAAAACTACTCTTCCCAGAGATGCCCAAAGAATAAGCCAACTTAATCCAAAATAGAAACAGGAAAATAGTTGTACAATACCAAATGACTGAATCATCGAAGTGTCAAATTAAATATCGATACCATCAATTTGAGTCTAAAATACTCTCTGGGGTTAAGGCAACCCAGGAAGAAAAGTAAGCAACTACCAAATCTGTAGCATGAACCTGAAAAGGTTTTCTGTGGAAGCCCCTTTCATTTCATCCAGTTGATTCCTCCAGCACATACCAGTTGACTACCAACTGCACCATAGGACTGTCCTGGGGACCTGGGACATAGTGATGAACAAGATTAGACCCTCGTCTCTCATGAGCTTGCATTGTAACTAATTTTGGCTGCTCTGACCTCAACCCTGGACAGAATTTCCCAGGAGAACGTGAGATTAGCTCCCTCACTCAGAATAAATTAGCCAATAACCCCACCAGCCTGAAGATCAGAATTGCTGAGTTTAAGCCCAGATGATGCCACTGCATGACTGTGGGAAAATTCCTTTGCATTCCAAGCTTCACTTTCCCCATCTAAGCAATCAAGAGGTAAGTAAGTGTAGTATCTTAGAAAGCTAGAGGATCCCTTATTTCATAGGGCAAGAAATTCATGTGTACTCAGGATTTTCAGACACAAAACCAGAAGCCACGGAACGTGGAGAGAACACAGGGCACTCCTCATGCCCACAAAATCAAACACCTATCCAGCAGGAGAGTGGAGGAAGGAATGCATGGAGCCAGTGACTCTAATCTCCATGTGGGAAGTTTGGAGTCCAACAATCCAGGGTTTAAATCCTGCTACTCTGTAATTATATGTGTGACTTTGAGTGAGTGACCCAACTCAACTGCACATGTTTCAGTCTCCACGTCTAAAATATGGTATCTCTAATGCCAAACTCACAGGGTTGCCTCTGAAGTTTAAAGGAGGGATATATATAAGGCACTCGCACAGCCCCAAACACACCATGGGTGAGCAATAAATTTTACCCGAATTTAAGTAAATCAACAACAATATTATTATGCATTGGAAACCACGGCTAAGACTGAATTTTGTTCACTTTCCTATTGCCTTCACCTGGTGTAGGTCAGACAAACAGAAGGTGCTCACTAAATAAATAAATGTTAACTTTGATTAACTCATACTAATTAGAAGCTCTGATTGGAAAATAGATACAAATGAATAATTAAAAATAGGAAAGGGAATTTGTTATTACTTGATAAACACAGTTTGTTCAGGGAGGGTATTTTTCAAAATGCAAGGCAAAATGGTGATGACAGGTCACAGACTCTGGGAGATCGCTGAAAAAGAAACCAACTCTCCCACATGGCTTGTGAGATCAGCAGAGGCAAAAGCCAAATGCATGAGTCATGCCCCAGCAATTCTGAGGCAGGGACCAATCAGAGGTATGTGCCGTTCTCGTTACTGTCCGACTGAACTCTTCATTCATTGAATAAACGGTTCAAAAGGTCCCTTGAGAAACTCCCTGGTGCCCTTTGGCAGAAGAGCGGCCACAGGGCTGACACCCTGAGCAGAAAATGGGAGAACCTGTGCTTGAGAGAAAGTGCTCCCGGTAGAAAATAAAAGGAGGTCAAGGCAAGGAAACCAGCAAGCCCATTAACAATTCCATACAACACCTCAGAAGTGTTTTCCAAAAGCAGAGTCCCCGCATAGCAACGGAAAATGCCAGCTTCATTTAGGCAGCTGCACAACACACACACACACACACACACGTGCATACACACATGCATGCATAAACAGATGCACATGCACCCACATGCACAAACTTCAAAAAGGGAGAAATGACTCTAAAATAGCAGAGTCCACTTTGAATCACAATGAACAAACCGTTATGATCCATTTATGATGATGAGTAAGGGGTTACGTAGTGACTCTCTGTAACTAGGTCAGGCACCAATTGGTAGTCAGCTCCACAGACCGAGGAAGATTTAATGAGGAGGAGATCAGACAAAGACAGAAGATGGAAATAGTGCCCCAAGCGCGTGTCCCCAGACACCACAATCTGGCGATGGGATCCAGTCCATGCTATTTCTCTCAAAGATAGACCGGAACAAACTTTTGGAAACTCCTGACATTCGGATCAACAGTTCAGGCCAAGCCGTTGAGCCATGGCTCTGGCAGCAGCAACCAGGCTAGAATAAAAACAAAACCCGAATCAAAGGAAGATCACGACCCGAGCCGAAAGTACAGAAAGCGTCAAGGCGTACAGAGGCGGCAGCTGTTGCAGCAGGGACAGGGCATAAATAAAACGGCACTGCCAACCTCAAGCTTGTGTCCACAAAAGCCGATCCCCTTTGCCTGGATCTATGCGCCACCGTTCCCGTCCCTCATCTGTGCTGGGCAATAGTAACTGGCACCTACGTTCAGGCTGGCAGATGGAGATGCCAGGCTTATTAATTCCAGTGCCTACTCACTCCACCATCACAAAGGTCACGGTGCAGCAGCTGGCCACCGAGGGACTTCCTTGAGATGCAGATTCCAGCCTTGGGGATGCCATCGCCCAGAGGCACCTTCTCTCTTCAATCTTGGGACATCTCACGTGGGGACACCAAGGGCCACAGGACCGTGAGAGGGCTCGGCCCAGCTTTGTTCTGGACGGCCGGAGAGGCGGCTCCTCATCCCTGGCACTGCCAACAGCCCTGTGAATGAGCCACTGTAGTGAGACACACACCCCCTGCTAATGAGATCCACACAGACACAAGCAAGAGAGGCAAGTGCAGAGGCTGCTGCAAAACAGGCAGAGAAGAAGCCAAGTCGGGCAGGGGCAAGATCATATCGTGCCCACCAGGCTTACAGTACCCACAGACCACGGCAGGGTCCCAATCCAAAAGAGGACCTTGTACTATTTGTCTTCCCTTGAACTAAAAGCATCTCCTTGTCCAAATTTTAAATTTGGCAGCCAAAATTGTATGGACATTTTTTTAAACAAAGTGCTATCATCTATCTATTACTCTTATTGTTTTAGGAAGCATTTTTAACTTAAAATATTTAAAGGGATAGATCTTTCAGAATAGAAAGACACTTGACAATGGAGTGTCTATTGAAGAAAAGGATGCATTCGATTGCTTTAGAACTTCAAGTACAACGTAAACTTATTTTACACTATTATATTGTGTATTGTAAAGTGGCAAAGAGAGGAGGCTCTGGGCAAGTTGCCTGATCCTACCTGTTCTAGTCACTAGCTGGATAGTCTTAAACCAGTTACCCACCCTCTGCATACTTCCATCACTTCACTGCTAAGATGGAGATTAGAGCTTGCCTCCCAGTTAGGGTTTCCTGTAGAAATTAAATAAGTTAATTCAAGCAATGCACTTAGCACATAGCAAGCTCTTAATAAGGGCTACCTATTTTGATCATTATCATCATTAGCGTGATCTGTGTCGGCCAGGTGAACTGACCTTGCAGAATAAATGCTTAGGTTATAACACTACATTTTGCGTGTGTGTATAACCACAGTTATTGAAAATCCAATCATATATAAGTATGTGGACCAAAGTGGAAGGAAGGAACTCAATGTAATTTCACTTGCTGAAAATTCAGAATATTTAGAGAAAACAAGAAACCTAGACCCCATCAGCTTTCCCTGCCCTCCTTTCCCCTAAAAATCCAGAAGGGAAAAGACTGAAATTGTCCAGTTACATTTTATTTAATTAATTAATTAGTTTATTTACTTATATATTTGAGACAGTGTCTCCCTCTGTCACCCAGGCTGGAGTACAATGGCACAATCTTGGCTCACTACAACTTCTGCCTCCTCAAATGATTCTTGTGCCTCAGCCTCCCAAGTATCTGGGATTATAGGCATGAGCCAACACACCCAGCTATTCCATATATAGTAGATTTATATATATATATAGGGTTTTGCCATGTTGGCCAGGCTGGTTTCAAACTCCTGGCCTCAAGTGATCCACCTGCCTTGGCCTCCCAAAGTGCTGGGATGTTACAGGCATGAGACATGGCACTCGACCTTCATTTTTAAAATATTACTTTTGTTGATTACTGCTTTTCTTGACACCCTCTCGGCCAGTGACTCACTCATCCCATCCTAGAGCTGGCCCTGGGTGGGAGGTAAGTCTTCCTCTTTCTTCAGAGTATGCTTCTGTCACTGCAATGTACAAGTCACTTGGGGACATCATTAAAATGCAGACTCTGCTCCAGCAGGTCTAGGAACAGGGATGAGGTCCAGGTTCTGCCTAACAAGTGCCCAGGTGATGGTGAGGCCACCACTGGTCCACAGACAGCACTGGGAGAAGCAAGGCCTTGGAGAAAGAAGATGCTTGGAGAATGGGGAGGGAAGCAAACACCTGAGTTTCATTTGATTGTCTTTTTGATGTGGTTGTTTTCAGACAACTTAGAAACTCTTTCATTATTCATGGGAACCGCTGTTGTTAAAGCTGAGGCTAAGTCCTTGGACCCAGAGGCGGGGAACATTTGTTGTTTTGTTTTGTTCTAAATCAAACAAATAGAATAAAGCAAATACCTATTGACTCCTGGTGACTGCCCTTTGGGGAGTTCATTTAACATTCATTCCCTTGTTCTTTTGCCTGGCTATGGAAGCAGGGCTAGGGATGCCACAGAAGACAGAGCTGTGCAAAACACTCAGGCTCCAAAGGGGACAAGTTGCTGCTAGGACTAAGAAAACAGTGCCAGCTCGATATACCCGAATTAACTGCCACTGCCCCTCAGTCAAACTGCAGGGAAGGGCAAGAGTTCAGAGTTTTTGATTTAAAAACTCAGGGTTCACATGCAGGCTCCATCACTTGGTAGCTGTGCAATCCCCCTGGTAAGTGGCTTAACTTCTCTGAACCTTAGTTTTTCTACATAGAATGTGATCCTAATACTGCTTGCCTTATAGGATTGTTGCTGTAAGATAATTCATATATGTATATACTCTATGTGAACAATGGCATGCCTTCCTCCAAAGCCCCAGGAAAACACCCAAGAAGAGGAACACTGATAACAAGTTCCTATGCATGTACCCTTGTGTGTAATTTTCCCTATTTCCAAGTCCACGTCTTCCCCAGAATATGTGTATGTGCACAGAGACAGACAGACTGACAGACAGAGATAGAGAAGAGGAGGGGAGAGAGAAGAAGAAATGAGAACAAATTAACTACAAGAAAAAGAAAGAGTTTGAGTTGTAATAAAGACCCGTGGTGAAACAGTATTTTCCTCTTTAATGTATTCCTAATTATTATACAGAACAATGCAAACATTATAAAAGAAATATTAAATCATCTTACATTCTTGTGCAGAATAAATGGTTAATATTGTCTATTAAAGCATATGTACTTGGAAATATTCTTTTGAAAGGAAGGAAGCATTACCAAACACACAGGCACACACGCACACACACACACACACACACACACACACACGCATACGAGCTCCCCCTCCTTTCTCAAGTCTTATACTCTCTAGGACATGGCACTGTATCCTACACGTAGTACACCCCGGCAAGCAGAAGCAGGCTGAATCCATGGAAGGAGAGGCTTGCGTAGCTGGTAGTCTGCTAATCGTGCCACCATTTGGGGGTGTGTACTGCCAGCCTGGTCTGCCAGCTAGACTCGGGTAGAGAAAAATGGACGGAAAGTAGGCCTGAAAGGAATGGCTCTTGGTCGTGCCTTTAATTGTCATGATGCTGGGGGACAGTATGATGTCAGACAAGCTTTCTTGTCTCTGAAAGAAACAGAGCCACTCAGGCAGAGGATTAGAGGACTCCACATGTGGCAGTGGCCTTTCAGACAACACTGTCCTAAATCCCGTTTCCCTGTCTCCATGTGGGATGAGGGGGGCTCTCTTCATCAAATCCTACTTACGGGACCATCTGTGTCCCTGTCCATGTAAATAGGCCTCTTGGCTCTCACTCAAGCATTGTTGCAAATTGTCCTCTTCTCCACACTAATGCTCAAGCTGTGGGACACTGCAAAGAACCCTTCTTCCGTTAGGGATTTCTCTGTCTAAGAAGGATTTATGATGATTCTTTGGCAAGAATCTTTGAATCGCTGGCATTCACAGGGCAGCCAAAGCGTATTTCAGGAGACTCTATAGCAAACAAGCAATACAGCCCTGAAGATTTATCTCCTCTGATGAAGCAGGGAAATCCTGATGCTCCCAGGATGCCACCCCTAGACAATGGGCTATTGCACAGCCAGTGTAGACGACGTTATGGTGGATACATCAACCCTCTCCCAAATAGCTGTGTGACCCCAGGTAAGATACTGAACCTCTCTGACTAACTTGTTTCATCCATACCATATAAATGATTGTGTTTTCTTCTTAGGGCTGTCGTCGAGATTAAGATGTTGAATGGAATCAAATGCCTGATATACCTGACACCTGATTTATGAGCAGAGTCTAATACACAGTACCCATTCTTTTTGATAAAGATGTGAGCATGTGTAGTAAGAAGGAGGCAGCATTCACTGACTACCTAGAGCTCTGCCTCTGGGAGGGGCTGTGAGCTGTGGTCCCAGTAGAATGAAATGAATGCACCTGTGCTTTGAAAGTTTGCCAACAAGCCAGCCCCCTTGAGGTGCAGTAATTGTGTTTCAGCAAGAGGACTACAAATTCTGCCTCACCACTCCAGCACTTGTTAAACTCAAATCTCATTTGTATCTATTCTAGTCGATTTTCTTTGATTTATCTCCTACAAACCCCTCTTCCAATTCCTGCATCTCAGCTTAAAAGGCATAACTGCCCTTGCTTCTTTGCTTGTTCTTTTCTTCTACAGGGTGATGCTGACAAACCAAATAAGAAAACAAAACAAAACAAACACCCTCCCTCCCTCAGGCTCACTGAGCTTCTCCTCCACCAGCAGAAACCATCAATAACCTCATAGATGGCTCATGGCCTGAAGAAGCGGAGACTGGGTGGAGAAAAAGGTGGAAACAAGAGTGGCTCCCTTTGATTCAGCCCATCCTAGAAACACGTGGTATTTTTTTATTTTTTATTTTTTTTAATACTTTAAGTTCTGGTATACATGTGTAGAACATGCAGGTTTATTACATAGGTATACGTGTGTCATGGTGGTTTGCTGCACCCATCAACCCATCATCTACAATGCTATCCCTCCCCTATTCCCCCAGTCCCTGACAGGCCCTGGTGTGTGATGTCTCCCTCCCTGTATCTATGTGTTCTCATTGTTCAACACCCACTTATGAGTGAGAACATGTGGTGTTTGGTTTTCTGTTGCTGTGTTAGTTGCTGAGAATGATGGCTTCCAGTTTCATCCATGTCCCTGCAAAGGACATGAACTCATCCTTTTTTATGACTGACTAGTATTCCACAGTGTATATGTGCCACATTTTCTTAGCAAATGGTATTTCTAATCTGAGACACTGAAGCAGGGAGCTTTGGCCAACCTCCTTCTTCTCAGGGGCAACTGAAACGCAAGAGGGTTTAGGGAACTTCCTAAAACCCATTGAGGGAGTAGCAGGAGTATGAAAGATACCCAGACTGGCCTGACTGCACATCCCATACACTTTCCACTGCATCTTGTTATTTCCAAGAGAGAAAAAGAAAAATCCTATTGGCTTTTAAAGGTCATAAAATAGTAAAGATACCTGCATGTTTAACTTCTGTCTCTGCCATTAGTTAATACAAGCACCTGAAAATCACTTGATCTCTCTCTGATCTA